TCGTGTAGGAATGTAGTGAGTGAGACACAAAAGGATAGTCAATAGGAGTACGCAACATACTCGTGATGTGTACGAAAGCAACACAGAAAACAAGGTGCCACTGTGGCACGCCAAGATGGCTTGCATATTGTTCTCGCTTGAATCCAGCCTTTGGGAAGCCAAGGCAGGTGAGTGTATTTCATTTCAGCTTGGTCAGGAGTTAAGCCCAGCCTGGCGTCTTGGGTGGAATTCGCGCCCGATTGTTTCTTTCTTGTGTAGCTAAATAACAGCGCCATACATTAGAATCCTTAGAGAATTAGGCTAAGCCTTTATGTGGTAAGACGCCTACAGAAAGCGATACAAATTACAAGTATAATACAAATCCCCACGCTCCCTACTGTCTATGTAGCTGTTTAATCTTATCCTTTTATCCTTTTATTGGGTGTTGTATGTGGCGACGAGGAGAAGGTGCGGTTTGATACTGCCTGGTTGACTGGCGACGAGCTGAGGTTGTATTGAGCCGAGATTGTGCAGTAGCCCCGAGCTGGGTGCGATGCATGGCGCCTGTGGCGTGCTTAGATGTAGACTCATCTCAAAAAAACATAAGACCTGAGAAGACTGCAAAAGTCGAACGTTATCCTACCGTATAAGAGGCTGCGTGTCGGCATGCCAGTAGAGTCTGATCCATGAACAGGGATGGCACTTGGCATGAACGCAACTCTGGCTAATTTTTCTTGTTCTCATGTATTTTATACTCTTCGAGAACGACACCTAATAGGAGGGTTTAGGGCATATCGGGGGGCACAGATAAGGCTTATGGTTTAACGACGAATCGAACCTGATGGCAACCGAAGGAAACGTCTTGCAGGGAGAATGGCCGCCAAGGTGTGTTTTGAGGGTGCTGTGAGCCTCCACCTCGAGTCGAGTAGCAGGGGGAGCCTTTGTTGTCAAGACCTGGGGCTTCTCAGCGTCAGACATGGGGGAAGATCGCGCTCACCTTACTGGAAAATACGGAAAGGTTATACTTGCGCAGGCATGGTTAGAGGTGGCAAATACGACCTGTACCATTCGCGCAGCATCAAAGGCATGACTCTTGGGGACAGATCCAGCAGATGAGGTGGCACACGTAGTATCTCGATGTCCTCAATAGGCCCA